ATTATTCTTACAGATAACGGAGATCTCCTTACAAATTTGTTTCTCAATTTCCCACTGACTATTGGGGTTTATAGTACAATACCAATAAGGTGATCATCCCTTTCTTATTTCTCAGTCGCACCCAGTAACTTCCCTGCATGTACTCCCAGGAATATTCTCCCTAAGTACAGCTGTAAATGTTATCCCTAATCAAAAACTCCACTCCCCCTCCTCTCTTGCATCACTTTCTATCCCTTCCTATAGCATCTATACCCTGGAACATTAAGCTAGTAGTCGTGTCCACTCCCAAGCCACTCTGTAATATCTATGATATCTCAGTCCCATGTTTGCAACCATGCCCCGAGTTCATCTGCCTTACCTGTTAGGGCTCTTGTATTGAAATAAATGCAGTTTAATTTATCAGTCCTACCTCATTCTCTACGTTGCTCCTGCCTCTTCCCTCCCCCCCACTAGTATAAATGCTCCCGAGCAGCTCTAGCAAATCCCACACCAGTATATTAGTCTCCTTCCAATTCAAGTGCAATCCACCCTTCTTAATCTGGTCACTTCCACCCTAGAAGACATTCCAATGATCCAAAAATGTAAATCCTTCTCCCCTGCCCCAGCTCCTCAGCCACGGATTCATCTGCTCCATCTTCCTATACCCTCACTAGCCAGTGGCACCAGGAGTAATCCAGATATTACCCTCAAGGACCTCCTTTTCAAGTTGCTGCCTAACATCCTATATACCCTCCTCAGAATCTCATCCTTTCCCCTTCCTATGTTGTTAGCTCTCAGGTGTACAACAACTTCCTGCTGCCCTCTCTCCCCTTTGAGAATGTTCTGCACATTCTCCAAGATATCCTTGATCCCTGCACCGGGAGGCAACACACCATTCTGATTTCTCACTGTTGGCCACAAATGTCCATCTGTGCTTCTGACTACACAGTCCCCTATCACATTGCTTGGATCCTGGTGTAGTTCTCCTTACATTAGAGCCAACCTCTGTACCAGAAACCTGGCTGTCCACACCACATTCCCTTGTGAATCCATCACCCCCTACATTTTCTAAAACAGCATACTTATTTGAGATGGGGATAGCCACAGGAGACTCCTGCACGACATGCCTCCCTTCCTACCTTTCCTGGTGGGTAGCCCATCTACCTGACTGTTTCAGTGGTTTTTCTCCCTTCTTACAGCTGCCATCTATCACACTCCTTAGCTTCTGTAAATTCCTCATTGCCTCTAACTGCCGCTCCAACTAATCCACGTGATCCAATAGGATTCACAACCAAACGCACTTCCTGCAAACATAATCATCAGTAACATGGAAACACTCCCTAATCTCCCACATCTGACAGGAAGAGCACATCACTCTTCCAAAGGCCATCTTTGCATCTTAACTATCTACAGACCCGGAATATACCACACATTCTTAACTGCTCTTAAAAAAAAACACTGCTCCAGGCTAACCTCGTACCTATGTTTTATATTATTACAGTTTAATCAAGAGACCAATCTCAATAAAACATACAATAAAAAAAACCCACTCTACTCACTATCATAGCTTTACAAAATAAACAGTAAAGGTTACAAGATGTTGGGTGCCAAGGTGACATCAAGTGGAATGGGACAGTGGGTACCACAGAAGCTAAGGTGAGGCAGTTGGTATCAAGAAGGTGGGTGGGTGGTGAGAGGCAGTGGATGTCAATGAGGAGTGGGGATGTCAAGAGTGAGGGGTCGGTTAGGCAGAGGGTCCCAAAGGAGCAGGTGGCTGAGATAGTGGATGCCAAATAGGGATGTCATTGAGGAGGGCATCAACAGGGAGGCAGCAATAGGTACAAGAAAATGAGATAAAGGGGAGAGAAACAAAGTCTGAAGTGGATGATGTCACCGAGGTTGGTGAAAAAGGAGATGGAAAATTGGGTGGCCTGGAGGTGGTGGGGGGTTGGGGGAAAGTGGTGAGAGAGATGGTGGGAAAGAATAGGACAGAGGGCGAGAGGGAGCGATAAATACAAATATGCACCATTTGTTTACACACAGTTCTCTTGAGAACACCATCAACCCCGGTGGGACCCGTCGATTCCTCCAGTCTCCAACACCCCCCACATTCAACCGGACTCTTTCACAACCCATTTGAACACCGGGGAATGCACGCAACAGCCGGTACAGGCCCAAGCTATAGCACAGGCAACGACAACAGCTGTCCTCAGATTCCCCAGCCTGGAAACTGTAAGACCTGTTTTGAGGAGATGTTGTCCCTCTCCATCTCCCACACCCCTACCGGCCACTCACTCACTCACTGACTGACTGACTGACTCACCAAGAAACTGAATGTCCCTGCCGCTCGCACTCGATCACCCGGCAACCCCGTCACTTCCAGCTGGCGCTCGGAACCGTGGGCCAGCCATTCCCAGCCGCCACCGCGTGGGCGCGCTCACAATCACGTGACCTAGTCTCGCTCGCGAGGAAGCGGGAAAGGCTGCTGTTTGTTCGTGCTTTCGGTTGCGTGGTTTGGTGGGGGGGATGTTTCACCAAGCCTAACTGCTATTTCATGGTCCTGGGATGAGACTGTCAGGAAGAGGATTTCGCTCCTATAAACTCGCAGCATCTGAGGGGCTTATGCTACAAACGAAATTGGCGTAGGCATTCAAATTATGAGCATTCGATGAATGCGAAATCCTTTTTTTCATCGAATCTCCTTCCGGGGTTTCAGTAAGGTCTCTTAGTTTTACAGTACAGATTTAATCTCTATGGGGGAGCAACATCTAGGCATTAACAACAAAGTTTTTTTTATTTCATTTAAGCACTTTTTTGTTAGTAATATGTTTGACCGACAAGGCAAGAGTTATTCGATCTGTATTCATGAATCTGTTTGTCTTTCAATTAATGTGGCAAGTGGTGAACGACTAGGATGGACGCTTTCGGTAATCACGGGGGGAGGGGGGAGTGCGGAGTTTAGACACGAGTACATAATTTTATAGAGATAGTAAGAACTGCCGATGCTGGAGTCTGAGATAACACATTTCTGAACCCATTTTTGAAGAACTGTCCCCATCCGAAATGTCAGCTTTCTTGCTCCTCTGATGCTGCCTGGCCTGCCGTGTTCCTCCAGTTCCACACTGTGTTATCTATATAATTTTATATTTCTTTATTCATTCACGGGATGAGGGCGTCGCTGGCTAGGCAGCATTTATTGCCCATCCCTAATTGCCCAGACAACAAGGTGCAGAGCTGGATGAACACAGCATAGCCTTTCTGCTCCTATGATGCTGCTTGGCCTGCTGTGTTCATCCAGCTCTGCACCTTGTTGTCTCGGATTCTCCAGCATCTGCAGTTCCTACTATCCCTAATTGCCCAGAGGCCACTTAAGAGTCAGCGACGTTGCTGTGGGTCTGGAGTCACATGTACGCCCGACCAGCTAAGGATTGCAGTTTCCTTCCCTAAAGTGCATCCTTCAGGAATTGGTGGTGTAGTAAGTAGCAAGGAGGAAAGCCTAGACTGTTCAATGATATCAGTGACAAATAGAATTCAATCCGGCTAAGTGTGAGATGATTTGTCTGGAAGGACTAACAAGGTAAGGGAAATACAGCTTGGAATGTCCACTGATTGTTGAAACAGCAGAGCCAGTGGATAAGGTGTTTAAAGAGGTATATGGGATACTTGCTTTTATTTGTCAAGGCATTGAATATATAAGAACAGAAGTTATGATGGAACTGTATATGAAGCTAGGCCACAGCAGGAGTACGGTGTGCACTACTGGTCGCCACACTATGGGGAGGATGTGATTGCACCAGAGAGGGTGCCAGAATGTTGCCCAGCCTACAGCATGTCAGCTATGAAGAGAAATCAGTTTAGGATTGTTTCCCTTAGAGCAGAGAAGGCTGAAGAGAGACCTGATTGTAGTGTCCAAAATTATAAGGTACATTGATAGTTGGAGGGTATCTGTAACTTGCTGCCAGAAAGGGTGGTAGAAGCAGGAACCCTCTCAACATTTAAGAAATGTTGGGATGAACACTTAAAACATAAACGGCCAAATGCTGGGAAATGGGCCTACAGTAGATAGGTGGATGATGACAGGCATGTAGGCCAAATGATCTCTTTCTGACTGTAAAACTTTGACTGTAAGTGGCACTTCACCTGACGAAGGAGCAGCAATCTGAAAGCTTTGTCATTTTATATAAACCTGTTGGACTATAACCCTGTGTCTTGTGACTTCTGACTTTCTCTTTAAGAGAAAGCAGCCCTATGTTCCTGTCGGCCTATGGCAAGTTTACCCCATTTGAAGTAGCAGTTGCTAGAACACATTATCTGCAGGCGAGGTTTGTGAATAAGCGTTCATATAGTTACAGGTTTACTCCTAACTATGCATGTTTGATTGCATCCTAATCAATGTTAGAATCAGCTTGTACTTATATGTTACCTTTTCACATTGTTGGGATATCCCTTTCCATCTACAACAGGTGAATAGTTGTTCTTCTGTATTGCAGTGAAGCATCAGCATCATTTGTATGTTAAAATTCAAGAGTGGGGTTGGAACCCATAACTTCTGATTCAGAAATGATTGCAAACTACCAAGTCAAGCTTAAACTACATTACTATTCTACTATTTGATGAATCCATTGTTTTTCTATTAGTATTGGAAGTATGCTCGCAATGCACCCAATCTATGTTGATTTGTGCTGCTTACCATGCAATCATTCCTAGGATATAGGTGTTGCTGGCTAGTCCAGCATTTGTTATGTATCCCTAATTGCCCAGACGGCAGTTAAGAGTCAATCTCATGGTCTGAAATCACATGTAGGCTAGGTCAGATAATGATAGTTTTCCTTCCCAAAAGGGCATGAGTGAATCAGATGGATTTTTACAACAATCAGCGCAGCTTCATTTCTTGCTGTCAAGCTAGCTTTTTGTTGAATTCAAATTTCATCATCTGCCATGAAGGGATTTGATCGCATGTCCTCAAAATATCAGTGACCATTTATATATCATGACTAGTGAAATTGCCACCATGCCATCACCTCCTAACAGAGGTTATCTAATGGAAAACTAATGACATTTACCTTTGGGAGGACGTAAGTTTTGCCTTGAATGGCAGAGCAGACTGAGGGGCTGAGTGGCCTAATTTGTATATAGTATCAAGAAACAGCTGAGCATGCTGGATGTGGAGTCTGTTCATGGCTGCAGTACTAATTTCTGCTGCAAAGCTAGTCTTAGCTAAGTTCTAGTATAGCTGTGATGCAGCCATCCACCCACCAATTTGAAACATTGCTCAGATATGTCCTGTTCACAAAAAAAGGAGAAAATCAATGCAGCCAATTACCGCCCAATCAGCAAGCTTTTCATCATCAGCAAAGTGAATGAAAGAAGGATTAAAAATAGTATTAACAGGCAGCATCTATTTAGTCAAAACTAGCTCGCAGATGCTTCGCTTGGCTTCTGCCAGGATCATGGATTTCCAGGCCTCGTTGCAGTCTTGGTCCAAATATGAACAAAGGAGCTGAATTACAGAGGTGAGGCGGTGTCCTTGACATCAATGAAGTATTAGATTGTGTGGCATAAAGGAGTCTTCGTAAAACTGTAATCAGTGGCCTGATGTTGACCAGTTGGAGATGCTAGTCTGAGATTTCAAGAACAGTGATGGTGCAAGTAGGTAGGAACAGCCCAATCCCCTATACTACAACCTTCTGTGGTCCTTTACAGGCTATTACATCTTGTGCACAAAGCAGAGTTGAAGAATCTTGCGCCCCATCTGCTAACTTTAATCTGCTCATAGCTGTCACATGCTTTCCAAGAATACCTGGAAAGCTTTTAACATATTTGACCATGGACATTCTCAATTTCCTTACTTCCACAGGAGCATTGATCAGGTCATGAACTACCAGAATATCCAAGCTATGAAATGTGAGATTGAGGGCAGGTAGGGAGAGCTTGATATAGCCTTGATAGAGATTGTTGGACACGTGTGAAGTAGAGACCTGGATGAAAGAAGAGATAGCAACACTTCTCAGCAAGATGCTCACAGAAAAGTTAGTGATCAACATTTGACATCACCAATCCTGTGTCAGTTAGGCGCAGCATTTCTATCTTGCCAAATTTCTCACTGTACGGCATGTCTCTGGTATTTCTACATAAGATTCAGCCTCTTCCTGAAGGAACCTTGTCCCCCTTTGCTAGCCTGGCTCTTGATGGAAGGCCCAACAATTTTTTAACATCTTTTGAGAATCATAGGCTGTTGCTCTGGATGAGTTCTCTGTCTTTAACAGCAGTGGTGTCTCTGTTTGTTGAGACTCATTTGAAATGCCCAGCCCTGTCACATTTTCAGCACCTCTTTGGAGCATCCAACACCCTGGGGCGGGATCAGCCACAATGCATACTGTGGAAACAGGATAAGAGCTGAATCTATACTTGCTGTGCAGAAATCTGTTCCCCTGCCTCTTCAGCCTGTGATTTACATCTGTTTGAGCTAACAGTCACCTCCTTGATTGTAGTCACTTGCTTGGGAGACTAATCTCCCACGATCTGGTTGAAGTGTTCTGCACGTCAAAGAAAGGTAATTGAGATTTGTCACTATTAAGTCTCCTGACCTTCATCTGGATGTTCCTATCCTTCAATGCGTCTGCTAGGCAGTTCTTTGGCTGCCTGTCAATTTAACTGAGAGATCCAGAAGAATGATATAATTGAACAACTTTACCAGCTCCAGAAGTATGGAAACCAGGTCTTCCTCTTCAGCTTGTGTGTCCTTGTAAAACCTTCACTGTAGCTGTGAGGGACCACTGCTGTCACGAAAAACTCTTGTCAGTACCTCAAAGATCCATTGCGGACTTCTTCGAACATCCAGTTGGCCCAAAGATCAAGAAGCAGACGTACAGAGATGACAAATATGAAGAGAAATTCTGGTTAAACAGGGAGTATTTAGTTGGAACGAAAACTGTGGGTTACGTTGGGTTGAGGAGTCTAAATGACACCCTTTTTTTCTAGCAATGGGCCATTCGACTGCTCAAACCGCCCTCCCTCACAGTCACCACTGCTGCTGGATGTTCCTCTACACACAGACTTTTCTTATTTTTTCTGTTTCCCTGCGTTTGATTGTTGCTGTTATTCTTTCTCAGTCTTATATAGACATTATGCATGTTCCTTCACTGATATACTTGATTTTAAAACATTTACCTATTATAGATTAAAAGCTTTAAATTACACTTAAATTTCCAAAGCCACCGTATATCTAGGACCATAAACAAAACACTATATGACTAATTAATGATAATAGAATGGCAACTAATATTACATGTAAGATTTTCACTCAGCCCAAAAATTCCATGTTCCCTTTAAAAATAAATAGCAGTCTATCATGCTGTCAATATGTACAAGTGAAAGATGAAAATTTTAAAAGATTGAAGTGATCAGAAAGCATTGGCAGCCAAATTACAGTG